CCCCAACACTGCCTGTGAGAACTGTGACAATCATTGATTCTCCATTCTGAAATGAGGTAATATGGCTGGCTGTGTTGGTGTACAGAGAAAAAAAATACAAACTGTGTCATGGAAAGACTTTTGGACCAAAAACTTAACTGTAGTCATGCTGGAATGCTGGGAGTTGGGCGTCCATGTCTGGAGACTAACACTTTTACTTTCCCTTGCAGCTTTTAGAAAGACTGAAACAAAAAACAAAAGGCCACGTTGAAAGCATATTACCTTTCATTTAAACCTAAATGTAATACAGTCAGAAAGAATAAAAATACAAAGCGGTATTAGTAACTAAATAATGGCATTTCAGATTTTGTGGGAATTTTAGGTGTATTTTTGTACACATTACCCTAATATGGTAAGGTGAAAAGAAGACATTTAATTAACTTAGTGAGGCTGAAAAAATACTTGTTTAGCAAAATAATTTTTGACAGTGAGGCTACAGAAAAGTGGCTACAGCAAAATAATCCAATAAAGTTAATCCAATAAATCCAAAACAAAAGACAGAACCAAAGTCTCCAGGGTGAGAGGCATGAGGGGAGATGGAAGAATGATGAAAAATAGCAGGAAAGCAAACAGGTTTGAGGAGGCCACGCAGTTACTTAACAAAACAATATACCACACATTCATTTGGTCATAGTGTGTTATCCGTTTATCCAGAGCTGTCCTGACGAGGAATGGCCAGACTCTTGCTCCTGTCATGATCTTTTAGTGAATTATCCGAGTTTTGATTGTGGAAAAAAATATACGTTATGAAGGCCACTCTTATTTTCACTGTCATATTGTGCTGCCAATGACATCGCATTATTTTGAGGAAGTTAATCCCCCATCCTCAGTCCAGGGTATGGTGCCTACTTAGCACTGTCAGATAGTGGTGTTTTGTATATTTTCACTCTATGAATTCATTGCAGTTGTTGCTGTTGCAGGTCTTTTACCTCTAATTTAACAGTGATATAAAATGATTTCATTAAAAGAAAATTAATATTCTGCCATAAAACAGGTGTCAGATTCCAAAAAGAATTCTTCCCATTGACAGTAGATATATTTCAGTGGTTATTCATAGCCTCCATCCACCACTAATGTTTTAATTTGCTTTTAATGTATTGTTGTGTTCTACGGGGACTACACTGTTAAAATTCTATGCTAAAACACTGTACATGTATCAGTTAGCTGCTTGACAAGGCTAACTGATACAGCTTGAAATAAAATATTAAATGCACTTTTGCTCCACCCAGCTTTGGCTCAGAGAAGACAGTGGTGTTTCTGGATCACATATGGCTTATTCTTTCCATGATAGGGCTTTAATCTGGATTTGTGGATGGCATAGTGAGCTGTGTTCACAGACAATAATATCTGGAAGTGTGCCTGAGCCAATGTAGTGATTTCCATGAAAGAATCAATGCTGGTTTTAATGCTAACTGGGTGTCCAAAGATCGTAGGCATCCTATACTAATTTTAAGTCTTTCCCCTTGCATACGAGATTTCTCCATATCTTTGTATGTTATTATTTGCTATATATTTGTATATGATGATATATTCGCAAACTTGCATGTCGAGGAGCATTACTCTGAAAATTTTAGAAGCATTTGCTTGAAAATTGGTGAACTCCTTTACGTTACAATGCACTAACTGTAAAACAAGAATGACTACATGGTATGGTTTCACCTGTTCTTCATGTGTATGTGCCTCCAAGAGATAATTAAAAAATGTGCAGTAGCACTGAAAACTGGTCATGGTGGAGAAGATGATCTTGAATGGGAGGGCCTTGAATCATTGTTGTGATCTGGCACTGTATAAATAAAAATGAAGTGAATTGACATACAACAGTTTGGCTGCTTCAAAATGGTTATATAATAGTATGACAATATACTGTGTTTTATTATAGGTCACATATTACATGTGTATTAATATGAGGGTGTATTGTGTGTATAAAATATGATAAGCCATGAGTTTTTCAAAAATAAACTGAAGGACATTAGTGCTTTAGTGTGTGAAATTTTGTCATGAGCATATATTCCCTTTTCACTTCCTCATCCTCATTGTGTGAATCTGTAGATCCTTAGCTGAATGGTATTCTGCTATCACCTTACAACAGAACAGAAACTCACAGTAAAGCTTTAAAAGATAAACTATAAACAATACTGCTTTGAAGATAAAACTCTTTTAATGAACTCCATCCCAGATATTTAGAGGCTGTTTCACAAGACTAAGATACTAAACTTACTCAGGTCAGATCTCCTCAAATTAATAGGAGGCACTGGCACTTACTGGGTCCAAATGATAGAAATATGTCACTACTCAAACTTAAACCTACACGTTGTGACTTGACTCCGTCATGTGTACTAGTGTATATGAATGTATAGGTGAATACTACCCAAGCTAAGATAGTTGTTTTCCCTAGATGGTTTAAAGATGGATACTGAAGGGCATCATCAAGTAAGTAAGTAATTAAAAGTAGTAAGTAGTTCATGTAATTAATTAAGTATTTTTATTAATAAAGTAATTAGAATTTTAATCCGATAATGTTGTTACATGAATTTCAATCTCATGCTTTCAGTTTTCAGTAGTTTGACTATTTCATTTTTCTGGGTAAACACATGGGAGTGTGAACAATACAAATGAGACAGAACTAAGAGGGGGAACTGAAAAAAGGGAAATTTTCTTGTGGTGATATTAATTTGTCTTATTTTTCCACCAACTTCTGCAATGTTTCCCTTTCATTTGTCGGGCTTCCAGTAAGTCAGCAAGTAAGTCGCTTTTAATCCACATCAGTTACACTTTCCACCAGCAGATGTCTCTGTTGCGTTACGAAATCTTGACTCTCATCTCACTGGGTGTCTTCAGTGAAAGTGCAGACGTCAGCCTACAGTAGGAGGTGAGGCAGCAGTGAATGAGATCATCCAGCACTTCTTTATAGCTGGAATGAGCGTTCACAGCACTTGTAAAAGGTTGGAAAGTTATGTAGGTAGATATCTGACACTAATACAATGTAATTACTAAATTAATAATTAGATTTAACAATTTCATTTGTGACTCCAGCAACAACACCAAAAAATGAATTCCTCCAGTTTCCAGCAAAATCCGGAGTAGGACATTGAATTTTTACTGCACAAGCTTGTCACAGTCAGCTGATCTGTATTAAGGTTAAAAAAAAAAAAAAACTAAACTAAACTCAAAGATAAACTAAAGAAAAGATATAAAGTAATCAGCTCGCCCTAAAAGTAGAAACAAAAAAATACCTCATGACAGATTTTACCTACCTGCAAACTCTTTCTGGAAAATTCTCTTTTTTCAGTTTTAAGCACTTCTTGCATTTTAGTTATTCTTCTTTCTCCTGTAGGGGTCGCCAAAGAGGATCATCTATCTCCATCTCACCCCATTTCAACCTATCCCTAGCATCCTCTTCCATCACACCAGCATCTCTTTATGAGCCACATGCTTGACCGAAATTTTATGCCTGATGGCCTTTCTGATGGAATTGAGGGTTGGGGCCAGTACTAGGAGTACACTGGTTTCTACATAGATGCCAGTAACAGAACCAACTGTGCTTTTCTACCAGAAAAGTTTTGGTTTTATAGATCTATTCTTGTTTTACAGTTTTATATGGTTTTATTTGAAGGTGGTTTTCACTTACTTGTTTTTCCAGGTTGTGTGCTTGACTTTCCTCTTTATTTAAGGAAACACACAGAAGAGTTCACATTGATGTTCTGTGCTCTTGGAAATGCCCTCTGATGAAACCACCAGTTCCATTGCAATTTGAGGAAGGCATAAATGTGGTTACATGAGAACTTGGACAAATAAAACCAGTGATGGAAACCACTAGAAATAACTGATCCCAATACTATGTGAGATGGTATCTATGCTTATTCAGGACTGGATTAGAGTGTTAGAGCAAGCTTACATGTCCGATTTGTCTTAAGCTTGTCTTGCATTGCACATAAACTTTTGCCCATATATTTTGTATGTCAATATATTTATTAATTGTTTTTTAAACTTATGAATAAACTTACTTACTAAGAAATCTAATTTAGTTACACATTAGCAAGGATGTAGGCTGTGTTGTTCCTGGTTCTGCATTGGTGGAGTTGTCCCTAAACAAATCCACTACTGTCATTTGTCTGGAGCAGAAATGTCTCAGAACTTGGAAAAAGATCATGCTTGAAGTGTTTCCAGCCTCACCTGCAGTCTCTTTAAGATGATCTGAAATTGTCCAGGAACAAGTTTTAAGAATACTGCAAAGAAACAGCTGCAAGAGTCAAAATAAAGACAATAAATCAATTTGTATAATGTTAACTTAAATGTTCCAGTTTAACCCACATACAACCTAAATTTACTTATTTACAAAAGTGTAGGTCTTGTACTCTTCCAGTCAAGCAAATGTGGTGTAAATGTAAAACAAGTGTGTGCTCAACATCTACATGGAGGATTTCAAGGCAGAGAGAAAGATAAATGGTTTGAGTGGGCAGAGAAACGATCTTTGGAGTGGAGGTGGAGCGGTTGGCTGAGGATTCATTAAGTTTCCTCACACAGCAGCTGGAGCAGAAAGTGTGTAGGTACCCCATGCTGACTCTCCCTCTCTCTGTATGTAACACAGTGTCTCTCTATCGAAGACACGTTCTTATTAAATATCTTCTGAGAATATCTCCTCCCTCAATCATATCTGCATGACTCTATCACTCCGGTGGGAAATACACTGACGTGCGCGCGGAGCCACCCACAGAGCGCGTGCACGGATTAATCATATCTGGAAAAGAGAGAGAGAGAGGGAGATGCTGCCGGCTTTAAGTCCGGTGTGACTTATCTATCCTACACTGCTGCTGTTGGTAACGGAGCGGCTGCGCACACACCTACACACACTCCTCTCTCTCGCTCTCTTTACAGTACCACACACACACACACACACACACACCGAAGCGCAGGAGCGGACTAGCGCACTGGGAAGAAAGGAGAGAAGAGAAACAGAGAGAGGCGACACAAGTCAGACCTGCTCGAGCAGGGGAATGTGCCGGATTCCGCTGCGCACACACCCGGGCTGTCCCGCACTGAGGGCTCCACTGCGTTAACGGGAGACGACACAGGGCTGATACTGAGGCAGCGGGACCAGGACCAGAGAGGGACAAAGTAAAAAAAAAAAAAAAAAGTAGTCACCTGGCTGCGGAGGAAATTAGAGAGGGAGGGGAGTGGAGGAGGGCGGGGGGTGTACCCGCCTCACAGAGCCTTGTTCTGGGGGTAACGCCACTGCTTGCGCGCAACGGAGAGTAAGCGCAAAGTTTCCTCGATGGCGCTGGTGATGGAGCCAGTGAGCAAATGGAGCACGAGCCAGGTGGTGGACTGGATGAAAGGTGGGCAGTAGAAACACACGCACAGACACGCACACACACACACACACATAAATACAACGATACAGACACACGCGCACGTATTATGCGCACGATTCATTTTTAAATTACACAGCTGGAACGCGTTCGCACACGGACCCGCACACACAAACACTGTCTCTGATCACGACTGGACATTCAGGCAGGGGAGATAAGAGGCTGACAAGTTGATTTGTTGTGTGGGAGGTGTGTGTGTGTGTGTGCTGATGCATCAGCCAGGCACCTGATGATCAGTGGGCAATGATGTAATGTGTGAGAGAGTGACAGCAGGAGAAACAAACTTCCTTGCTTAGAGCAGGGGCGGGTGTAGAAACTTTTGAAAGGGGGAAAGGGGGGCAGATCGACTGCTTACCTCCTCAGGTTGCTTCAGGCGAAATCGGGATTACATCAGAATTGCTTAGTTTCAAACGGCACACCTGTTAGTTCAACTAATCAACATCTTGTGAGAATCTACTAGCCGTGAAGGTCACAGCTGCAGGCATGTGTAAGGGTAGACAGGGATAGATAGGAGGTTGATGCCAAACTGTGAAACATGGCAAGAATATACTGACTGCTCGCTAGGTGTCGCTCTCCTGAGGTTCATTGATCTGAATGATTCGGAGGTTAGTTAGCCCATAATAGAAGGTGGCAGCCAGATGGCTCAACCAATCTGCCTTTTGTAAACACTTCCCAAGAATTAAGTCACAGAGTGTTTTGCAAACAGACTGTATATAGAGGATGGATGTAGCTCTGGTGCCATCACTCTGTGATAAGGGAGGCCCCACTCTGAAGCTTCAAGCTTTGCCATCTCGGTGTTCGAAGAGTGATGGGTGAATCTGTCTGAGAAACACAGGCAAACTGCTCCAATGGTAGCAACTTGTTAACTTGTCCCACCCTAAAACATACCCTACTATATTACTATATCCTCCTTTTTGCATCTATTGGGGTCAACAATTTCCAAAATGAATACCAAACTAGCTTTTGAGATTACGAATTCATCAGAAAGTGTTTTCTGAGGAACTGAGGGGTGTTTCTGCTTTGGTTCGTGGATAATATAAAATACAGCTTAAGCCACTGTAACATCAACCACTGGAACAAAAGACATCAATACTGGAAGATTCCTCTCTCTTCGCTGTAAAATAAAGCGATACAGGAAATCATTTGCACCTACAGCCATCAGGCTTTTCAGTTCTCATGCTAATAACAGATGAGCCACGGCTCTTTGGCAAATATCTCACTTTTCAGAACTGGTATATTTATCCAACTCTTATATACAGTCTGTGCTCTCCGCATCCTATGGTTCATAGGACTGGTTGAAGTTATCCAGTGGATGTAACTTGTGGCAGTCATCCTGTTCAACCAATCACCTGTATTTTAAAAAAATGTGATTCCTAAAGACTTTCCGGGGACAATTCCCAAAATGTTCCTATGTAACAAACAATCTATTTCACTAACTCATTTGCAGCTTATTCTGAAGTCACTGCTTGACTCAGTGTCACTATTTACTCAGATGTGATATGGAGTCTTCCTACTAATGGGGACACTTAGAAATAGCGCTATCTCCGTTTGGTTATCTAAGTTACGCAAAGGATTTTGTTGCCATTGTGTTCTGTGGAGGAAAGTTTGCATATCGGCACATATCAGGTAGCAAATATGCATATACAGTAGATCTGTGTTTGGCACACTAGATAGTTCTAGCGCTAGCTCTTGTCTCAGAGACATATTTTTAACCAACTTTGCAGCATTTCAGCAGCATCACGTCCCTCTGTGTCATTGTTTTGTGCATCTCTGTGTGTGCTTACATTTTGGCCCAGGCAGGAGGTGCGAGCTCAATATCACGTCACCACCCGCAGGGTTACTGCTGACTCTGGTTGCAGATGATGTACCAAAAATCACAAAGGAACAGTGCGTGCTTTTAGGATATTTTGGCTTCACTTTGTTCGGTGTGAACAAGCGGTAAAATGCTGTCTATCTCACTATTGAACATAGCTATAATGCTAATGCAAACATTTCACAGGCTCTTATTTGGACAGTAGCTCCTTAATAAATAAGTTTTGTTTCTTTTTGTTGAATCAAGAAGCGTTGCACCTTGGGTTAAACAAATCTGCACTTTTGGCTGCTTATTATGACCCACGCAGAGCTTTTGCAATGCACCACATGCACACTAATCACCTACGCCACTGTTTCTTGCGGACTGATTGTAACTTTAAAGATGTAATTCCTGTCGACTTTAGAGCTACTAAAATGAGATCGGTGAATACAGAGCAACAGAACAGCGTCTTCAAGAAAAAAAGACACAAGTTAAACACAAGCGCAAAACTTTAAGCCTGAGTGTTTATCCAAAAATGTAATTACGTTTTGTTTATAAGAGTGCTGGTGATACCTTGGAGTGATCAGACTAGAGATTATCGTCATGCATAATTCAGTAGCCGGGCTGATTAGGTCTATACCCAGGGGCCTGTGTGAGCATTGTAAAACTCTTTTGCACACAAAAAGAAATGGCTACTGTGCATTTCCCAGATCCCACACAGTGTGACGGCTTATTTTGGCTGCAGCTCGTTGCAGACATTGTGACGTATTCCAAATTCTGTTTTGATGTATGATCATTTAATTGCTTCTAAACATGAAGGGTAAACAAGTTACAGCTTTGGTGTTTCTAAAGTGGCTGTCCCTTTAGGCTCAGGTTATCTGCACCAATAATAATTTGTTCAACTTTTCACTTAATTCTCATGAAATAACTCGTTTAGGTTCTGAATGCATGAATAATATTGGCTCAGCCTCCCCAAAACCACATGCCAGGAGGAGACCACGCTAAAGACCAGTCCATTAATCACTTTAATATATGAATAACTAATTTAATTTGAATTAATGGCCAACTTTGGTGCAATAGGGACAAGTGCCTTGTAGAAACTGATCACTTTGGCTAAAATACAAAAAAATATATGAAGGTCATACAGGACTTTTTAAATTGGTCCATCCAATTTGTTACGTCATTGAGAAATTAAAGTGGGTTATAATTCTTTACTTTGGTGTTAATCAACTCTTCTGTCATATGGTAGCTGTCAATGTTTTAACGCTAAACACGGCTCACAGCCGAGCTCTGAGGTGATTTATGGGGCTGTAAAACAAAAGTGAGGGTTTTATCATTAAACTCTCACTCCACCCAAAATCTCTGTTTTAGAGCGAGGCAATAAAGGAGCTTGTAAAACGTCTGCAGTTTGCGCCTCTGACATGTTCAGCATGGTTTCACAGCAGTTACAGTGGACTGCAATGGTGATGGTTCACTAACCCCGCACCTTACAGAGGAGAAATGAGTTCTAGAGCAGAACACAAATGACTCGCTGATGGTCGAGAAGAAGAATTGTCTTAACCCTTCTCACCCTCGAGACCCCTGTACCCCAAACCAGCTGTAACTGTAATTAAATTGGAACTATTGTGCTTTTCTTTTTCCTCTCTCTCATATATATTCTGTCACAATGGTGGATGCTCATATTAAACAGGGTCACAATTTCATTTATGTTCAACAGCCCAGACTGTTTGAACCTTCCACTGACAAGGGGCAGCAAATCAGAAGGAAGTAGCTTTAAATGGATGTGGAAAGACTTGTTTCAGAAAGTGGGGGCTACGCCAAGGCCTAGTGTTAGGTTTATAAGGATTATGAGCATTATAAGGGTATCATCAATGTGTCTGACTCAGTCTTGGTAGGCTGCTGTTCACACGCTAATTTACATTTTTGATTAGGAAAAATTCTAAGTGTTAAAACGAAAGTAGTAAAAAAACCTATCAGTACTTTTAAAGGAGAAGAAGATTTGTGAACTCTGCCTCAGCTTAGGCAGAGTGCACGAGCAGCAGAGTAACAAGCAGCAGCTCAGGTGAATGATGTTTTTTGCACACGTGCAACATGGCTCTTGTGGTTTATTTCCACACATAGTAAGGAGAAGTAAGAAATACCATCTGTTACTTGTAACTTTCTATATAAGTGATAATTTTATATGTAAATACAGGCAAAATTTTTAACCTGCAGTTATAGTTGTTTTGTCAGATGACATCATGGTTATGGAATGAAGCTATTTAATATTTAGTGCATTTAATTAGATGACAGAAACCTTTGGCAAATATCCCCTGTTGATTGCTACAAAAGCTCTATATAGGGAACGTACTATATTTCCATAAAGATACAATTCTACATAGAAGTATAATAAAAAAAATGCTTCTGTTTGAGGTGATGAAACGAGTTAGTCTTAGGGACTCACTTCCTTTTCTGTCTTACATATTTTTTGTACACATTGTTCTACATGTTAAGCTGTTCTAGCAGTGAAGGTCTTTTCAAAATTTGAAGTCGTGACCTTAGATTAGCATCAAAAATGCCAACATCAATCTTCCAAACAGGCCATTATAAAAAACTCAAACATGAGAATCCTTAAGTACCTACTGAATGACCTTTAAATTTGACCTATTGACCGTTTCCAGCCTCTTCAAGTCTTTTTTCCCCTGCTTTAATGCCAAGATGCATCATCGCTCCCCTGTTTTCTCAAACTCAGATCACAAAACACAGCCCACCTTCCAAATGCACTTTGAGAAATGACTAATGATAACTAATATTAGTAATAATTGTTATTCATCATGTCTGTTTGATGCACGAAAAGCAGGTCAGGGAAACCATTGACTCATGCGGCAATAAAATGCTTATTGAAATGGCAGCAAAAATGTATTTACATGATGCACTGTGTCAGTTCTTGGAGGCACGTTGTTGGATGGGTTATTGGTTGGTCATGTGCATATGGCATGTTTTTATACGTGCGTCTGAGTGTGTGTGTGTGTGTGTGTGAGCGTGTGGGAGGATGGTAACTTGTTCGTCTCAGACCGTCTGTGCACAACAGCTGACAGACGAGCACACCCGTTCTGAACAGAAGGCTCCACCCGAGTCCTCGGACATTTGCAGCAACACACACACACACGCCATGCCTTAGTGTGGTATTCAATTC